TGTCTCAAACATGGTAGGTAAGTGCTCTACCACTGAGCCACAACCCCAGCACAAAATTCTTAAGGCCCAATCCACCTATTACTCCTTTCTAAAATTTCCCTGATTTCTTGGAGGCTATTTGGTATGCTGAAAAATACTATGGGCTGTGAAGTCAGACTAGGGTTTGACTAACTTAGTTAGCCTGAATTTCGACTTGTCTATAAAAGTGACCTTTGCTACCTTCAGACACTTATAAATAAGAAAATGTATAAAAAACAAGAGACTTCCTTTCTCCCATACGTATATTTTATATAATTTTTAAGGACTTAGCAGTCTCCCTAATCTGAAGTCAATAAATGATATCTTTATTGTTTAGTTGTAGATGGAAAACACCTAAATCTTTATGTGGTGCTGAGGCTTGAATCCAGTGCCTCACACAAGCTAGGTGAGTACTCTACCAGTGAGCCACAGCCCCAGCCCCATAATATCTACTATCTTAAAAATCAAGAAATAGCAAGATAATCACATTATCTAGAAACATAAAAGAGTGAAGAATTAAAGTAATTGCCTTTCAAAATGGGGAACCAGCTAAGGTGAGAATGGTGAATGCATAGTCTCATGCATTATTGAAATCTTTTGATTTTTAAGACAATAACCTTGACTTTTAAAATTATATGTCTGACAAAAAAATATTACCAGAAGTAAGCAAAGATGTACCAACAAAATAATTAGGCAATGGATCAAGGGTAGAGCATGTGCTTAGTATATGGAACAAGGCCCCCAGGATCAATCCCCAGTCCAATAAAGAAGAAATATAGAGACCTAAATTAGGCATCGCTGGGACATTTGAGTCTAACCCACTGAACTTATACACAGAAGAGAACATAGATCTCCCAGTAAGATTCTATAGGAATAACATACACTATACTGAACTGTGCCTTTGGCTTTGTGTGTACCAGTAAACTGGGCACAATGGTGCACACCTGTTAATTCCAACAATTTAGGAGGCTAAGGCAGGAAGATCAAAAGTTTGAGGCGAGACTGGGCAACGTTGTGAGACTATCTTAAAATAAATTTAAAAAAAAAAAAGGCTGTGGCAGAGAACTTATCTAGCACATATGAAATGTGGGGTTCAAATGAATGTCCCAAACCACAAACAAGCAAAATGAAAACCAGAAAAAAAGGAAAAAAGAAATACAAAAAAATAGTAATTTTGAATATTCCATTGCTTACTCTATCTACAATAAAAAAACAAAATGAAGAAAAATATAGAAAAGAATCTTCTTCCTTTTTTCCCTGCTTTTTTTATGGTGCTGGGGATTGAACCTAGAGAAATTTTTAGCTCTTTTTAATGGCAAAACAACAATAATAACCAGGAAGTATATGACCCAACAACCCCACTTCTGGGTATATGTATAAGAGAATCAAAAACAGGGTCATAAACAGGTATTTGTGCATCCATGTTCACTGCAGTATTATTCACAATACTGAAATTCAGTAGAAGCAGCCCACAAAACCCTTGAGAGAGGAACAGATATGCAAATTGTGGCACATGGAATGGAGTATTATTCAGCCTTCAAAAAAAAAGAAATTCGGATACATACTACAACATGGATAAACCTCAAGGATATTATGCTAAGTGAAAAGCCAATCACAAAAGGACAAATGATGTACAAATTCACTTATATGAGGTACCTAGATTATCTAACTTCTTAAAATTAAAAGATTTCAATGATGCCTGAGACTACTTTACTACCATTATCACATTAGCTAATTCTCTGTTCCCAAAGGCAACTGCTTTAATTATTCACTCTTCCCTTCTGTTCAGAGAAAGTATAAGATTACCAGAGCTGGGAGAAATGGAAAGCAGGGAATAGCTGTTTAATGTGTTATCAGTTCTGGAAGATGAATAAGTTCTGGAGATTAGCTGTACAACAATGTGAGCACACAACACTATCTGTACCAAACACCTAAAGATGGTTAAGACACTAAAATTTTATGACATATTTTAAATTAAAAAAACAAAACTAAAAATAACCACAAGGTTACAGAACTACACCATATTATAAAAATACTATTACATTTTCACTGAAAACTAAAAAAGCATACAACAAGTGTATTAAGTGATAGTTCTCCATTCAGTAATACCTACCTGTACATTTATACAACATGCCTGTCATAGTTCCAGCTGCTACTGTGTTGAGGTCATCTTCTGCACCTCGTGTTTTCTCAATGATAACACCAAATGCACTATAAAGAAGAGCTAAAGGAAAAATAGAAGTGATGTTATAAAAGTGTGACTGAAAGTCAATATGGCAATAATATTTAGATAAGTAATGGAACGGTTTCTAATAGCAAAAGCCTGGCAACAAATAAAATGCCTTTGTACCATCTAACTGATACAGGAAGAAACTTTCCATACAATGAAATACTACAGTCACTTGAAACAAAAACCATTAATAAACAAAGCAAGCACATATGCACACTAGTACATGACTCTGATTGGCTATGCAAAAAATAATCTATGTAAGTTTTCAGAAGAAAAGAGTAACTATTTCTATATACTACTCCAGGAAAGCCCAAAAAGTATATTTTAAATTTTTCATTTATATGTTACCCACATATACTCAGTATATGTACTTTGGATTAAAACACCCATATATGTCTGTTATAATTAGCCAGAAGATCTAAGAAATAACTATATCCCCAATTAATAAGAGAATTACAACTCTGGACAGGGAACAGCTGGAATGCAGCCTTTGAAATGCCTCTTTAAAAACCCTCCATTCCCCCTGATGGGCAGAATCACAGCTTCTAGGACAGGATCCCCCCATGTTTGTCCTTTGCTAGCAAAGCAGTAAAACTTTTTCCTTTTTCTCATCTTTTTTTGTGTGTATAAAATTAAAAAGAAATATAAAGTTTGATTCTTGTACATGTAAAAAACTATAACATTGGCACCATTTGGTTTTACATGATTTCCCCCAAACAACCCTCAACCTCTGCTGCTTTTAGATTCCTATCAGACATGAATGCATTAACGACTTTTCTTACCCTTTCACAAAATCATAGCTATAACTGACCCTTCAACATTATACCAAACTTAAGACTTATAACTCCTTTATTATGGTATTTCATACTTCTATTAACGTTCATCTACCTGTTCAACTTACATAACTGCAAGTGAACATGAGTAGAACATTATGATTGATCATATTACAAAAAGAATACAAAGTGACAAACCCAGTGACCAGTTATCCCACTTTGCTTAGGCCCAAGAGGTTTCTTGCAATGTGGGATGTATAGTGCTAAAACTGAGAAAGTCTGAAGCAAAAGTGACAGTAACTACCCTGGGTATATAAGCAATTAAAAATTAACAAGAGATCTGGGCATGGTGGCACTTGCCTGTAATCCCAGCYGTTTGGGAGGCTGAGGCAGGAGGATTACATRTTCAAAGCCAGCCTCAGCAACTTAGAGAGGCCCTAAGCAACTAAGTGAGATCCTGTCTCAAAATAAAACGTAAAAATAGTTGGAGATATGGTTCAGTAGTTAAGCACTGCTGGGTTTAACCCCCAGTACAGAGGAATTAACAAAGGAGGTGAGGAGTTAACAAAAGAGGGTGACTGTGTGCACACACACGTTGGGCACGGTGACACAATGGGGACAGGAGAAATGTAGGCATGAGCAGCATATGGAAGTAGCTATTTATCAGAATCAAAATGTGAATCTGGCTTTAAGGTGTTCAAACACACTGCTTCTAAAGCCCACAACAAGGCTGGGATCTTAGTATATTATAAGAGGATTTTTCTACCTTTTCAATGAATTTTCTACATTTTCCCTTGTTTAATCTGCCACAAGTAAAAGATTTCTAGACATTCAGTTAAGCTCATAAATTACGAAAACCTTGTGTTAGGGCGTATGTGCCACAGGCTGGTCTATTTTAAGTCATCAATAATCAAAAGAGCCTGTCATTTATAAATAATACGTGATGAAAGTATTTGGTTCTGACTAAGCCCTACTAAATTACCTCTTACCTAGAACTGCCAATGTTTTTGTTATCTACAAAGAAACTATTGTAACTCTGGAATTAGGTCCTTGAAATCTGCTGAGCAGGTTATTAGGAAAAAAGTAATAGCACTGGACTAATCCATCATGTCTCCACTTTAGAACCTTGAACCTTTACCAACATACATAGCCCTTTGCCTCAGACCTAAATCATTTGAATTTTGTTTAGTTAAAATTTGACCTTATTTGGTGTCCTGCATGGACAAGGGAAGGCAGTGTTTAAAAGATTTTAAAACGTTTAGAAACGGTATACAGAACAGAAATAGCACCTACTATTTTATTAAATAGTTCAGGGTCTTTCTTCTAATGATATCCTACTCACCAAAGTGGATTTAAACATAATTGTTTCAAATCCTTGAACCAGAATTTTGGTTGATCAAATTGTTCATACTCATATATTCTTTCTTTGCATTATAATATGATTTATTATCAAATGAGATTTCTACTTACCCAGAGAACCTAGAGTATTAGCCCAAAGTGCACCTTGCCTAGTCACCATATTCAAAATCCTACCAGGGAAGAAAAAATCTGTATTAAGAATCCATAGTTCTGTAGTAACCTAAAAAAAAATAATAATAGCTATTTAAAATGCCTAAAGTCAAGCCTCAACATTTTCTTAATTTTGAGATACATTTTAATGCCTCCTGAGATTTCAATAAAGATGGTTTTTATGCTATATAAAATAAGGGTTAGGTTAAAATTCTCAACATTTTGGTTAAAATTCCCATATTAAATATAAAAACATTATTATACATGTATAAAAAAACAACTTTGAATAACAACTTGGAATATACTCTATATAATGTATTTTATAAAGAAACATTATAGATGAATGTGAAAATATAATTTTTACTATGACACACTGGCTTTTCTTTCTGGGAGGGGGGTATATTAACTATAAGATATGAAGTAGAACTGAACATTAACAATCATCTAACTAGAATACATGGAGGAAGTACCATGTCTGCTCCCTAACTTGAACTAAGCAGCCAAAGTGAATGCTTAGCACACTCTCAAGGAAGCAAAGTCCTGCCTTGTACCAGTGCCACATGCTACCAGAACAGTGACATAGGCAACTGGATGAAGAAGACAAGATATTCCTCTCCCAGCAGTGTAACACCATCACAGGAATGGTTCTGTCCGGATAGCTGACTACTGCTGGAAACAATGGAAATATAATAACAAAGAGTAAAAGAACTCATTAATTAACATTCCATAGTATAAAAATTTGTATTACTTCTAACAATGTTTAAAAACATTAGTATCCTCACAAACAAAAGTATTTCTAATTAAATTATTTACTAATGTTTTAAGTTCAATATTTTAAAGTTTGTAATTAGCTTTAAAAATATTAATTTTCATTATTGTATTGCCGGAGGTACTGCAAATTGGTAAAATTCTTTTGGATGCCTATTAAGCATAACTCATCCTCAGCAACCATCAGCCACAGTTATTGTGTCCCATAAGGCAGAAAAGTAGAGAAAGTATACTCAAGATCACAAAACAGTAAACAATAAAAACCACATATATCTGTTTGATTCTAATCCTATCTTCTTTTCATTATTAAATGCTGCCTCTATGTAGAAGAATGATTATAAAACTACTACTGTTTTAAAAAATAAAGTCTTGGGGCTGGGTTGTAGCTAAGCGGTAGAGCGTTCGTCTAGCATGTGAGAGGCCCTGGGTTCAATCCTCAGCACCACATGAAAACAAATAAATAAAATAAAGATATAAATAAATAAAGTCTCTTCAAAGAGACTTTTCACTTCCAAATTCATATTTAACATAATGTGAGGAATGTTTCAAAACAATACAGGAGAGGAGATGGGACATAATAAGCTGTGGCTGATGGTTGCTAGGATGAATTATGCTTCATAAGTATTCATCATGTTACTTTGTTTACTTTGGTATTAATTTAAAATTCCTCATATACAAGAAGTAAAAAAAAAATTACTGGAGCAAGGGACAAATGTTACAAAAATAAACATAAAATGCTGAAGGAGGAGGATGGTAATTTAAGTACACATAGTAATAAGAATATTAAAAGCTTCTAATTCAGTAAATCTGCTGCCATCTGCTGGCTGAATAATACATATGGAAGATGGAGTTCAAAGTGTCCTAAAAAAAACCATGAGCCAAAGAACACATATTTGTGATTCTACTTATATCAAGAATAAAAACATGCCAAACAGAACAACTTACTATTTGATAGAGACTGGTTATGTTTACTTCTTAAGCACAGTGAAGACATGTTTACTTTCTGGACCTTAAATGTACCTTCCCTTCTCTGCAAATTAAAATTCCTGAGGAAATCTTAATCTTTTAAAACTACCTCTAAGTTCTAGGAATTACATTTAAAGTTCTTTGGCTCCTCATTTCAGAAATGGAGAGTGAAGACACTAAGAAATTCAGGTAAAATGACAGACTTAGCATTACTCTTTTGAACTGCTTATTTCTTCATTACCAAGTTCTCCAGTTCTGCATGCCCCTGAATAATCCAAAGTTTATTACTAATAATTCAACTATTTGAAAAGCATGTCATACAAGCTTGGAGAATGGAATCCACATAGCTGCAAAGTTAGGCTGGTATAGCACCAGCTGACTGAGGGACACTAACTCAAAAATCACTCCTTTTAAAAGCTTACTTTCAATAATTGGATTCCTTGGTTCCTTCTATTTTGAGTAAGAAAAAAAAAACAGGAAAAAACAAAGGAAAGTATATCAATGTTCTAAACATTTGCAATCTCAGATTTGTGCCCATTACACTACGAAAGCAGAGTTAATATTCAAGGATCATTGTATCAGATGATTACATGAGACTTACTGTACATTTCTTGGTTTGGACCAGGCCATGTTCTGGGTTTCCTTCAATCCTAGCCGAAGACCATTCACTGCCCCAAATGCAGCTCCTGGTAAATCATAATAATTCATCCAAATATAGCTTTGTATTAAAAAAAACAAAACAACAACCATACTTCTGAGTAATTTTCATTTATACTTAATAGAAAAGAAGGATAAATATAAATACCCAAAAAACCCTTGAAAATATAAAAAAACCTTAAAACCAGTATTCTAATTCCTTTTCATTTTAAGCACCATCAACTTCTTAAACTGAGGACACCAAAGGAAAAAAAAATATCATTACACCCACCTGTCATACAACATCCTCCAATGGTAAGGAAGGCTAGTTCAAATCTGCCCCGTGTTTTATTAGCTCCAGTTGGTAAAATAAACTCATCCGTATCCTAGTGGAGTAATAAAGAAAACCAAGTTGAGCATCACTCAAGACATAGCACCTGAAAACTACTTTTAACTTTTCAAAGCAGTTTTTTCTAGAAAGTAAAACATTGAATTAATGCAAACTCAACTGTCTTTTTATGGGGTGGAGGGTACTGGGGATTGGGCTCCCAGCCCTATTTTGTATTTTATTTAGAGATAGGGTTTCACTGAGTTGTTTAGTGCCTCGCTTTTGCTGAGACTGGTTTTGGTTTTGAACTCGCAATCCTGCCTTGGCCTCTTGAGTTGCTGGGATTACAGGCATGTGCCACCATGTGTGGAAACCTCAACTATCTTATTTAAACAAAAATAAAATTGTCTGCAGCAATAGCAATACCTAAATCAAAGTGAAAAGAAATACATAATACATTTTGTTCTTAGGAGGGATTCTCATTTAGCACTTGTTTCCTTCAAAATATAAATCAGATAGATAATATGTAATCTGCCTTAATGACAAATCTGAGGTGACAAAGTGTAGAAAGAACAGCTTTAAAGAAAAGAACACTGAAAGCTATAAGAATTAACAGATGATAGACTGTCAAGCCTGAAGGAAAAAAGTAATTTTTGATTTTGTAGCAACTAAACCTTGAATACCATCTTACACGTGTAAGATCAAATGATCCTCAAAAAATGAGCAAGAACTATTAAAGTACAATCATCTGTATCAGTCATCAGTCATACAAGGGCAAATTATACCCTTAATAGTATTTTTTTTCCAGCTGGGGATTGAACCCAGGGCTTCATGCAAACTAGGCAAGCACACTACCACTGAATTATACCCTGACTGCATATATTCCTTTAATAACCTTAGGAAGTTATAGACCCTATTTGTAGTAAATGAATAATTAACATGAGTCCCTGGAAGATGACTCAAAATCCTGGGTTGAGAAATGCTACTGAGAGGGGCTGGGGATGTGGCTCAAGCGGTAGCGCGTTTGCCTGGCATGCGTGCGGCCCAGGTTCGATCCTCAGCACCATACAGAGATGTTGTGTCCTCCGAAAACTGAAAAATATTAAAAAATTCTCTCTCTTAAAAAAAATGCTACTGAGCGCAAAAAAATGATGATCAATTTAAGAGTCAATATACAGTTAGAAAAAAACTGTTTCATTTAAGGAAAGCTTTCCATGAAAAAATAGCTTTGGCAAATCCCCTGATGGATAGCACACAGAGTGTGCCACATTCAACATACTAAAAACCACTAAAGATCAACATTTATCCCACTCCTTGTAGCAAATACTGAACTTTGGTAAATGCATTACTAATTGGGAAAACTAGCTCTGCACTGTTTTTAATTTCTGGCTTGTGCATACAAAATACTCACCAAACACTGCAAGTAAACAAGCACATGTATTCTCATCACACAAAATGGTCAGTTGGGGAATAATAAGCAAATCTTGAGAAGATTCCATGTGATGATATACTGTACATAGTTTTTCAAATTTTGGATGCTTCTTGACATTTAAATTATAGTGATTTTAAATACGGTTATGCTGAACCTTATCAAGCAAGCTCAAGGGCATGTCAGCACAAGCTCACTCTTCAGCTGATGTCAATAAAAGCAACACTAGGCTTGGAAGCAAATGTACATCAATTCATACACAAAACTGACAGTAAAGTATATTAATACATTGAATAAAGGAGAAAATATGTTGAAAAGTTCTTGTTAAACCTGTACTGGTGACACTCTAGTTGGACACTAGTGTCACTAAAATACCATAAGTTTGTTTGTTAATACAGAAGACAAATGAATCTAAGAACAGATATCAATGAACCTGATGAAATAGAAGGCTGAGATTATGTGTCATCTTTATAATTTCATGTGAATACTACTATGGACACTGGAAATTATTTAAAGTCTCCTTGTTTTTATACCAGATATTCATATGGGCTAACAGAGAACAAGATTTATTAACATAATTTAAAAAACATTTTAGGGATGATTTAATAGTGATAATACAAAAGCAATAGCAAGAGAAAGCACAAATAAAAATTGATGCCAACACTACTATATGGTCAGCTGACGGGCACTATTTAAGATATATTTAATTTTCTAAAAGTATAGAAAAATATTTTAAAAATGTAACTTTTATTAAGGTATCATCTTTACATTTATGTTTTCCATTGTTACATGTAACATGAAGACAAAAAGGTTTAGAAAAACATTTTCAATTCTGAAGTCCCTCTAGCATCCCAGAATACACAATTTTTTTTGGTCTAACCTTACTCACTTAGCAATGTAAGATCAAAATAATATTGCATTTATAGCTAGAGTAGCACTTTAATTCTGAAGTCAACATTTAAGCAAAATACATGTTCTGTGAAATTCTGAGTAAACTGACAAGATGGGAGCTTCTAAAAATATCCACTTATTAATATTTAATAAATTTAAATGATAAATTTTCTGCAAAAACAATGAAGCTTTAAACTCACAAGGTCCTTATTAAAAACTTTTTTTTTGTTTTGTTTTGTTTAAGGACTAGGGTATAGCTCAGCAGTAGAGCACTTGCTTAGCATGCTCAAAACCTTGGGTTCAATTCCTAGAATAGGAAAAAAAAATTAAGTTACTGACATATCACTCACATACTATACTACTCATTTATTTAATGTACAATTCAATAGTTTCATTCCCCACATAGTCTCAATTGCAAGCCATTACTAGTCTACTCTTCATGCCTATATATTTGCCTATTCTGACATTTCATATAAATGGAATCATATATTAAGCGGTCTTTTGTAACTGGTTTTCTTTGATTTAGCAGGCATTTTAAGTTCATCCATGTTGTACCATGAAACAATAATTCATGTTTTAATTGCCAAATGACATTACATTATATAGATACGCCATATCTTGTCTATTCTTTCTCCTGTTAATGGACATTTGGTTTGCTTTTGATTTTTGGCTACTATGAACATTTATGTACAATTCGTGTGAACATGTTTTCAATTCTCTTGTGTGTATATCTAAGAGTAGAAATGCCAGGTCATAAGATGATTTTATTTTTAACATTTTGAAATACTGCCAGACTATTTCCAAAGCAGATTTATCATTTTACATCCCCACAAGCAAAGTATGAACGTCCAATTTCTCCACATCCTTACCAGTATTTGTTATTGTCTTTTTCATTATAGCTCCTGGTGGGCCTGAAGTAGTATTTTACTGTGGTTTTGTGACTTCAGTTTCTCTAGTTAGTGACACTGAAGTTTCATGTCATTACTTGGCATCTATACACTTTCATGAAGAAATGTCTATTTATAATTAGAATTTTATAATTGGATTGTTGTTTCATTAATGTTTTAAAAAATTTTTAAAACTAAACATTCTAACTATAAGTCCATCATCAGGTAAATGATCTGCAAATATTTTCTCCTAGTCTTTGACTACCTTTCTCCTTTCTTTTTCTTATTTTGGTACTAGGGAATGAACCCAGAGGGGTGCTTTACCTTTCAACCACATTCCCAGCCCCCAACCAGCATTTTTTTTTGAGACAGGGTCTCACTAAGTTGTTTAGGGCCTAGCTAAACTGTTTGTTTCTGCTTTTTGGTTACTATGAACATTTATGTACAATTTGTGTAAACACATTTTCAACTTATCACTCCATAAAGAACATAATATGTTGTGTTGTTAAGTCTCTAGCCTTGAACTTGTGATCCTCTACTTCAGACTCCTGAGCTGCTGGGAATACAGGCATACATTACCATGCCTGGCTCTTTCCCCTTTCTTTTAAAAAAAAAAATTGTTTTCTTTTTTTGGTGGGACTGGGGATTGAACCCAGTGCATACCAAGTCGTTTCTGCTTTTTTTTTAAAATATTCTTTTAGTTATCAGTGAACCTTTATTTATTGATATGCAGTGCTGAGAATTGAACCCAGTGCCTCACACATACTAGGCAAGTGCTCTGCCACTGAGCCACAACCCCTCGTTTCTGTTTTTGTTTTGTGTTTTTGAGACAGAATCTTGCTAAATTGCTAAGGCTAGTATCAAATCCTCCTATTTCATGTCGCTTAAATTGCTGGGATTATAGGCATGTCACTGGGTCCAGCTTTAAAAAAAAAAATCAATTTTGACTAAATTGAATCAATCAACTTTTTATTTATTACTTGTGCTTTTGGCAGCAAATGAGCTACTGCATAATCCAATCACAACTATTTATAACCATGATTTCATTCAAGAGTTTTATATCTTTAGCTCTTACATTTATAAAGTAATTTTACACTTGGAGTGTTTGTTGTTACTGTATGGAAAGCAGAACTGATTTTATATGTTAATTTTATATTCTGAGACTTTGCTGAATTCACTTATTAATTGTAACAGTTTTTTTTATTATTTATTTCACTCATTTATTTTTATGTGGTGCTGACAATCGAACCCAGGGTCTCGCATGTGGGAGGTGAGCGCTCTACAGCTGAGCCACAACCCCAGCCCTATTTTTTTTTTTGTACCTTTATTTGATTTTTAAAAGATAAGATCACATCATTTGCAAAGTGTTTCACTCTTCTTTCAATCTGCCATTTCATTCTCTTGCCTAACTGCTCTGGCTACAGGATATTAAACAGTAGTGAAGTCAGTAGAAATTGCTTTTATTACTCCTGATTTTAAAGGGGAAATAGTCCTTCACTATTGTACATGTAGATGCCATTTATTAGGTTGAAGGAATTCTCTATTATTCTGTGTGTGTGTGTTAAAATCATGAAAGGGAAATGGATTTAATCAAATGCTCTTTTTGCATCTATTGAGGTAATCGTGTGGTTTTGTCTTATATTCTTATTTTTATTATTTTATTACATACTGATATGTCACAGAACATAAACTGATATTCAGTACATTAAATTAACCTTGCTTTCCTGAGAAAGTCTTAACATTTAGCCCAGTATTCTGATACTACAAAGTGAGCTTCAAAAGCAAAATTTACTTTTATCAGGTTGCATTCCTTGTTGGTTTAACTCCCTTTAAAGGGGGTTAAATGGTTTCAAGGAGAGATACAAGCCAAGTTCTTAGGGTTTGTGAGAAAAAAAAAAAAAAAAAAAAAGGAAACCAGAGACTTAGTATATGGCAGAATTAAGTACCTGTACTAAGTTCATGGATTAATTCAACTTGGAATTAAATAATTGAACTTTTTAAAGTGTAAGATAAAACATCAAACACTAAAATTTTAATCTTACCTGCACAAGATATCGTGGATCCACATTTAAATAAGGAGACAGAGGGTTCATACCAGTTACTAGAGAGAAAACAAGATGTTATTTGCAATAAAAATTCCCACAAGTTATTACATACAATAAACTAAGCTTCTAAGAGTTCCCTGTCTTGCAATTCTGATTTATAGGCTCCATAAATATTTTATTTACAAGCTCCATGAAATTTTGTTTTTTCTCTTTTCTTCTGTCAGTTTAGGGGCTGACTCATTCTGGAGACCCTCAATCTCAAAAAACAATGTTCATAGCAGCTCAATTCACAATAGCTAAGCTAGGGAATCAACCTAGGTGCCCTTCAACAGATGAATGGATAAAGAAAATGTAGTATACTTACACAATGGAATATTACTCAGCCATAAAGAATAAAATCATGGCATTTGCTGGTAAATGGAATCGGAGGCAAGCTAAGTGAAATAAGCCAGTCCAAAAAACCGAAAGGCTGAATGTTTTCTCTGATATTTGGTTGCTGAATCACATTGTGGGGGTGGGAGAAGTTCACTGGATGGGGGGCGCATACGTGGGGGAAGGAAGAGGGAATGAGAAAGACAGTAGAATGAACTGGACATAACTTTCCTATGTTCATATATGAATACACCACCAGTGTAACTTCACATCATGTACAACCACAAGAATGGGAAGTTATATTCAGAGAAGCATGTAAGTATATATACCTTCGTGTATTATAAGTTACCTTTAAAGTATAGCTCACTTTCCAGCTTATTTAGATGGTTTCCTGACTTTTTCCAACTCATATTTACTTCCCGACTCCACGTATTGAATGTTTGGCCCCAATAGTTACTTGGGAATTTGATTTTTTTAAAAATTCGCCAAGAAGCTAACTAATTGCTTGCTATTTGCAATACGCTATTTCCAGAAAATCTGGGCTTTTCTCTTAACTCACGACAACATATGGGAACATATGGGAATACATATAATAACAAAAAGAGACCTAGATATAAACGGAAGAAAGCATGCATCATCCCTTAAATCCGGGTCAACCACAGGTAGCTTCCCCAGGGATCTACAGTCCCCCAAAACAATGTTCATAGAAGCTCAATTTCACAATAGCTTTGAAAGAGCAGCCGGTCAGACACATTAACCTCGCTACCAGCGCTGATGCTTCCGAATGGCTCGCGTTAAGTGCAGACGCAGGAAGCAGTCAGAAATGTTCGCATACTGGGCCCGATACTTACGCGGGACGCCGGCTAAATCCGCATGCGAGTAACCTGCTCCACCGGCTCCGAAAAAACCCGCCAATCCCCCTGTAGTTTTGTTACCACTTCCCCCGCCGCCTTCCATGGTGTCTCAGGAAACTACCGTCTCGTCCCCGACCGTGCCTCAAGCCGGGGTCGAGCGCTCGGCGGTTGCTTCACCGTAGGCGCGGGGAGACCCGCGTTACCACAGCCTCCTTCACACGCTGACCTTCCGGGCGTCGATTCCCGTTAAGCACCACACTTCCGTTTTACGGCTGTGTACACCCCGGAAATCGGGAGCACCTGACGGCAGACTTCCGGTGGTGGGAAAGTGAACGAAGTCGGAATCCAAGCAGAGCGATCTGAGGCTGAGATACCTGCGGAAAGAAGGAAGGCAAGCTTCTGCAATAGGGCTTGACTCCAAMGCCGGCGAACCAGCAACTGCAGAAGCAGGCAGCGGCAGAGAGGGAATGGTGCGGGGAGGCGCCGAGAAGGAGGCGCAGTCCGTCCCTCTCAGGGTTAGTGAATGAGGTCTCCTCCCGGGCCGGCCCGGGGACTGTGCGCTGTGGGTCCCAAGCATGAGTGCGGGCCCCGGCTGTGAGCCCTGCACCAAGCGACCCCGCTGGGGCGCCGCTACAACTTCTCCACCGGCTGCCTTGGATTCCCGGAGCTTCCCCGGCAGGCAAAGGCGCGTCCTCGACCCCAAGGACGCTCCTGTACAGTTCAGGGTCCCACCGTCCTCTCCAGGCTGCGTCCCTGGGCGGGCAGGACCGCACAGAGGCGGCGCCACCTCGCTTGGTACGTGGGGAAATAAAAATCTTTGTCCTTCGCCTCGGTCCAAACCTTCTCTGTTTTGAGTCCGAGGACCCGGGGCTCCTGTCACTCTAACCTGGTCTTATATGCATCACTCCGAGCTTCGCTTGCTCAACTACCAATGCCACCAGTGGAGGAGGCGGGGGCCGCATTTTTCCCGGATCCGCTTGTTGTGAGAAATCTTGATGGACAGTTACAGGGCGGAAAATGGCCGGAGACCCCCTGTTTTCTTTTCTCAGATTTGATGGAGAAATTGCCTTTATTGGCATCTAGTTGAGTAGCAGTAGGACGCTTCAGCCTGTAGATGGGAAAAAAAAAAAAAAAGCTGTTGCAACTTCCCTCCTTCGGATTCTGGGACCCAGGGTCCAGATTTTTTAGTCTCAGTTACTTTTTTTTTTTTCCTAGTTGATCCTGTGGCTCAGCTTTATTTATGTACTTATATATTCATATTTAACTTTACTTTTTTTTTTTCCTAGTTGATCCTGTGGCTCAGCTTTATTTATGTACTTATATATTCATATTTAACTTTACAATTTCCTTAGCAAGTCCAAATTGAGTTGCTCTCATTTGCTACCAAAAATGTATTAAACAATGCAGAATTTTAATTGGCGATGGAGTATGTTGTTGGAATGTATGGGTTTAGAAAGGCAAGTATAATTCAAAAGTTAATAACACAACAAATATAAAGAAAATAAGTCAATTACACACTTTGATATGGCCCTGATAGTTATATTTATTTTAAACAGCAACTAATTCTGTAAGTGCAAAAAGCTGTAATATTTATTTTGTAAAGTTAATTTTCTGTTTTTTTTGCTTCTCTTCAAGGAGAAGAAAAAACTCAAGAATAAACAGCTTAATTTTATAGTTGTTTCTATGGCATTATGATTCACTAGCTAAATGAATTATTACTGGCTTTAACTTGTTTTTTCACTAGGTCCTTATATGCAGCCACATCTTTTCAATGTCTGTAATTGCTAAAAAAAAAAAAAAGCTTATAATGTAAAAATGTAATTTTTACTCAATAGTTTAAAATCCTTGAATAAGAATTTAGCATCTGCTGAATTTTTTTAAATTTCAGTTACTTTTTTAAAAATATTTTTTTTTAGTTGTTGATGGACACAGTATCTTCATTTTATTTATTTTTATGTGATGCTGAGGATCAAACCTTGTGCCTAACATGCATGCTAGGCAAGCTCTCTACCACTGAGCTATAACCCCAGTCCCTAGTCTTAGCTACTGTTGTGCTTGTCTCTGGCATAGTGTTGAACACAAGGAACTTGTTCTCTGCTTTCATACCCTAAAATCTGTCAGGAGATATAGACAATAGACAAGATAATACATATGACAAAAGGTAGTGAATATTTTGATATGTGAGGGACAGATTGTTTTGGTAGAAGGCAGGTGTACTTAACCTAGTTTATGAGCTCAAAAACAGTCCTCCGGAAGACACTATGCTTACTTTGAGGACTAACAATTGTATACAGTTTCCTAGATGAAGAGGTAATAAGGAGATGTTTCAGGAGTGCAACTAGTATGGAGAGTTAATGGGAGAGTAGTGAGAGAAGGGGTGCAGCAAGTTGGAGAAAATCAGATCATACTTTACTGTGATGTAGTAAACACTACTAAAGATTTTGAAGTTTAAAGACAATGAGGAGCTATTACAGAATTTTCACTGGGGCGAGGTACTTTGATTAGAATTGTTTGTTGAATGGTCCCTATAGTTCATGTGGAAAACAAAAAATGGTTGGAAACACAAGTGGAGGCCCAGAGAGTTAAGGTGTTCTAGGGGGAAGATATTTTAGCCTTACACTTGGATATGGGCGGCAAAGAAGGAGAAGTAGATGAATTCAGGAGAGAATGGGATACTTATATTCCTCAGAAGTAGTACATGTGTGGTGGAAAAATTGAGAGTTCTTGGAATAAAGAGGGCTATGGAAGCTTATGTGAATMGTTTAGATATCATTTAAATATATAGAAAATGTAAAGGTGAATAAGGACAGAACACTTAGGAACACCAACATTTTAAGGGAAGACTGAAAAAAAAAATGGTCACAGAAGTAGGAGGAAAACCAAGCTTGTGTAGTGTCATGCAAAGAAGAGAGTGTTTCAAAAAGAATGCAGTAGTCAACAGTTTTAAGAGGCTGGGCAAAGGTCAGACAGTTTTCTGTACACTTGGGTGTCTTAGGACTTGGAGGCAATGGGGAGCAGATTTAAGTCTTGAAGGATGAGCAGGATTATCTATATAAATGAAGGGGAGAGAAAATATGCAGGCAAAGGAAACAGCACACACTAAAGGATAACAGCATTGTCAGGTGAGATTGTTGAGTACTCAAACTTGAGTACCATGTTAAGGAATTTAAACATTTTGTTAATATTTTAGAAAAGGTGATATAAACAATGGCTTTTGGACTTTTTTTTTACTACAACCCACACAGTATAAAATTATTTGGCACACAGTAATATACATATAACCTGGTACACATGCTGTATTTATAACTGAAAACAAATATTTTATAAAATAATACCCTCACTATTTATGATGCATTCTTGTATTTCATTAAAATATGTTACTTTTTTGTAGTTTATAAAACACTGGATTAGAGAAAGTCAAGACTGTAAATAGGGAGACAAGTTGTTGGAGGCACGTAACAGTCACCCGATGAGTAACATATTTAAGGAATATAAGGAAGGAATGGACTTAAAATTTAGCATGTAGATTTCAGAGAACTTGGTATGGAGGAGGGAGAACTGATGGTGAACAACAGGTAATATATTTGACTTGTGTGACTGGGTAATTTGTGGTCCTGTCAACTTTATTTGCATGGTAAGGAGGAATTAGTTGTTGGTAGGTGTTGGGGCAGTCATTCATATATGCATTTTTTAATTTGTTTTTTTGTACTAGGGATTGAACTCAGGGGCACTTGACCACTGAGCCACATCCCCAGCCCTTTGTTATATTTCATTTAGAAACAGGGTCTCACTGAGTTGCTTAGTGCGTCTCTAGTTATTGAGGCTGACTTTGATCCTCCAGGGCAGTCATTTTTTATTGTTTGGATCTTGAGTTTTTATAGAAGAAGAATCATATTAATTCTTCACATGTGTGATGTTTTCTATATACAGAACACCAATTAACAGATTATTGAAATTCTAAGTTTATGTCATTTGGATTTTAGGGTTCTTTTAGGAAGTTGGTACATAGTTACTTATACTAGAAGGAGTAGGTGGAGTAGAAAAATTAGTATTTAGTATTATTTTTCTTCCTGGATATGTCTTATATTGATTGAAATCAGATAATCTGTATTTAGGCAGAGAAGTCAGCTTGCTGTTCACATTCTGGGGGGTGATTTATGTACTTGCATTGCTATGGGAAACTTTGTGGAAGTGGGGTGTTCCTTTGAAATGCAGCTGAATTTTAGTGCATTTTGTACCTTTTGCTTCTATCTATAGGTGCTTATTGAATAATGTCATTGAAATACACTTGTTACTGATTGATGTTACTGATGAGAGTAAATGTGAATGGTGCAAATTCATAATAAAGTTGGAGAACTACTGATCTCAGTAAAAAAAAAGATTGAATAGAAGTGTTAAGAATAAATATATTTCTTCCGTATCTGTGTTGTGAGGCTGGACATTTAATATTTTCTCTAATTTTTGTAATCTTAATGATTCACATAACCCTTGGAAGTAGTTGTTGTTAATTCAATTTGAAGCTGAAAAAAACTTGGCGTAGTGATGCTAGTGACTGAACAAAGGTCTCAGTCCAGGATTGATTTTACATTATGTACTTTTTCCTTATTTATTTTTGTTGCTGTGATTATTTCTAGTTAAATGAAAGAAATTTCCCAGAATTTGGGGAATCATCATTTTATGTTTACTTCAGAAGTAAGAGAGAGAGAGCTTTGAAACAGTCTTGTGATATGTTGGAAAAGAAACCTTTGGAAGCCAAAAGTGGTGGTATGGGAAAGAAAGTAGGGAAGCCCTTTCTCTGGATACCAAACAAGGACTGAGGAATGTTAACAAGAAATATTGATTCCTCATCTCTTGCCTTTCCTTCTTCATCCTTTTCTCAGGCTTCAGGAATCATAATCAGAAGCCCTAGCTAGAGAGAGAACACATTCTCCTTGTTAGGGCTACAGGAGAGAGCCCTAGCTCTCTTTCTCAACTTCACTGGTATACAACTCATGTGGTTTTTCATGAAATAAAGTTTGCAGTCTTTAGGTTCTGTGGACTTATCAGTACAGTGCTGAGCTCCATGTGTAGTGGAGGAGCCTAGCCAATGAGTCCTTATATTTAACTGTAACATTTATGGAAAAAAAGTTTTTTAAATCCTAACCTGACTCAAAAATGAATGCTTTGTACACTGCTGGTTTGCAATTTGAGGATTTTCTGAACTGTACTTGCTGTGTTTGGTATAGGTTGAGTGTCCCTTATCTGAAATGCTTGGGACCAGGAGTGTTCAGATTTGAGTTTTTCAGATTTTAAAATATTTGTGTAGATGTTAGCGATTGAGCACCCCTAATCCAAAATCCAAAATCTGAAATTCTCTAAAATCAGTGCTTGATGCTCAGAAAGTTTCAGATTTCAGAGCATTTTGGATTTTCAGATCAGGGATGCTTAACCTGTAAAGTGAAATTCAATAGAAAAGAGAGAACTGTAGAAAAAGTCTCAGAATCAAATTCCTTTTTTTGGACTGAGSGTCGAACTCGGATGCTCTACCACCGAGCTACATCCCAGTCCTTTTTATTTTTTATTTATTTATTTTGGGGAGCATCTTACTAAGTTGCTGAGGCTGGCCTTGAACTTGCAATCCTCCTGCTTTAGCCTCCTGAGTTGCTGGGATAAAAGGCATGTACCAATGGGCCTGGCTGGATCATCCTCTTAACTCTGCTTACTAAAATTAATTTTTCTTTGAAGCTTAATATGCTGCAGAAATTCAAAATAAAATCACTGAAGTAGTGGTATTTAACAAGAAATATTAACTGCATATAATTACTTTTTATGATAAAACTAAAAAATAATGATTTTTTACTAGTTGAACTATTAGTATTTTGTAGGAAGTATAATATATGGTACTCAGATACTTTCATGGCAGGTGTAAATTGTATGACATTAGAATACTTGAATTTGAATTTTTTCCTAAGTCTCAAATGTATTTAACTTATGCCATTATCTCAGAGATAATCAGTGATATTTTGTTACTTGAGCCTGCATCTGTTTTGCTCATATTATATGGTGTTTGAGAAGATGTATGAAAATAAGAAAGAGTCTGATTTAAGATGCAGTTTAGAAAGTGGTTGAGAATATTTCAGGTTTTATTTTTTATACTAAAATGTTATATACATTTAATCCATGTATAGTATGTTAAGTTTTGAAAGCATACTTATTTCTTTTTTTTAATTGGTTGTTCAAAACATTACAAAGCTCTTGATATATCATATTTCATATATTAGATTCAAGTGGGTTATGAACTCCCATAAGCACACTTATTTCTAATGATTATATAAATTATTACTTGTTTTGATTTATATTGTATCTCTTGTACTTATCTGATCAATAGCTATAGATTTCTGGTCATTTCTATCAAGTTATCTCCTTGGTTCCTCAAATTTAGTATGTGCAGAATTGACCTAATCATATTTCCCCCCAATCTCAATTCTTTTATAATCCACATTTCTACTTAATGCTGTCACAATCTTTCAATCCTTTCAAGCTTAGAGTTTAGTGCCACATTTAATTTCTCTCACATTATGAAGTCTGTAATGATTCTCCTACATTTTACCACTCTTACTGAGATTTGTTTTGCTCCTTGGCCAGTAATTCTTCAGTCTAGTTGGTCATCAAAATCACTTTTTGAAACAATTACAGATTCCCCTCAGCCTCCATCATACTCATATACAGATTCTGATTCAGTAGGTTTAGTAGGATGTGGCCCTTGGATCCATTTATTGCTAGCCTCCTGATTTGAGAACTACTGACCTACACCAGGAGCTTTCTCACTGTTTTTTGTCAGTAGGCTCTGCCTTTTTGCCTGCGTATTTGTCCTTCAGGCTGGCTGTGAGCTTCCTAGATTTGAATTTTGGAATCACAGTGTGACTTTTAGCACTTTCTTATACTTCTCTTTGTGAGTATGGTCTTCGGTGATACTGTCTTAGCTGACTTTTTGACTCTATTGTGTGTTGTTTTCTTTTTTTTTTCTGCCATTGGTGCCTTTGCTTATGATTTTTTACTTTTTGTGAATTCATGCTTTTTCTTAAAGGCAGAATTTAAGTATTAGCTCTTTCCAGAGATTAACAATTATCCCACTTACTCCTATTTCTTGCTGTAGTCTTTTTCCTGGAAATATCTTCTTAATTAAAACCATTTTAAATAATAAAGATAATTGCCAGGCATGATGGTATACACCTATAATTCCAACTACTTGGAGACAGACAGGAGGATTGCAAGTTCAAGGCCAGCCTTAGCAACCTTAGTGAGTCTCTGTCTCCAAATAAAAAATAAAGAGGACTGAAGATGTGGCTCAGTGTTAAAACACTCCTATGTTCAATCCCTAGTACCAAAAGAAGTATTAATAATAAAAATGATAATTTAGAACTAACGTTTACTGGGCATATACTGAGTGGCACCTATACGCTTTACGTAGATTATTATTAGTTTATTTAAACCTCACATTAACACCATGAAAAACACTGCTAGTATGTTTTATAGCTAAGGAATTTGAGACAAAGAGAAATTGTCCTTCACAAGATCGCACAGGAAAACAGTGGGAGAATCAGCATCTGAATCCAGATTTTCTGATTCCAGAGCCTATATTCTTACACATTGAGCCATACCAACTCTTTTTGGGGCCAGTCACTTTCTATTCTTTGCCGTTAATATTAGTATGTTTGTCCATAACTTCTCTCTTAATACTTGAGGGTGAAAGAAGATCTTTGTTTAGGTCATAGAACCTAAAAAAATGCCATATGTATATTTTTAAAAATATATGTTTTATAAATATAATAGGCTGTATATTTTTTCTATTTGAAAAAATACATTAATTTTGTACTTTTTTTTTTCTTTCTTAAAGTTTTCAAACAAAAGACTATTACCAGTTGGATGGACACTAAAGGAATCAAGACAGCTGAATCAGAAAGGTATAGAGACATGCTTATATGGAGAAATGAATTATATAGTGTGGGGTTTTATCTTGCTTCATATTTTCTCTTATTTCTGTGCTTTCTCATTTTTTATTCACCTACAATACAACCCAAAAAAGGAATAGTCCCTTACTTACTTTATTTATTTATTTATTTAAAAAATTTTTGTTGATGGACCTTTATTTTATTCATTTATTTATTTGCGGTGCTAAGAATTGAACCCAGTGTTTCACATATGTGAGGCAAGTGCTCTACTGAGCTACAATCCCAGCCCTTAGTCCCTTCCTTTAAAATACTTATTTTGTAATGGTAGTTACAGACACAAAAACACGTAATGCTGACTCATGTGAGAAATGCCACAGTAAATGTATGAGCAAGAAAAGATATGAGTGGTGGTTAATATAGAGAAGAAATAAAAAAAGAATCAGCTTTATGCTTAAGCCTTGAGGGACAACTACATAAGAAGGTGAGTGAAGTTTATGATTTGAAGAAAGGATAGGTGTTTGTCAAGCACACAGCTGGGGAAGGGAATTATAGGCACATGTACAAACAGTAATGAAAGAACATGCTGTGTGTTCATGTATTCACAAATATACTTATGGATATGACATTGTAGGGATGTGGTTGATTAGGAAACTTTTTGTATCACAAATTCAATTTAGTTCTTTCTGTTCTCTTATAGTTTGTGTAGTAAAGAAAATAACAATACAAGGATAGAATCCATGATGAGTTCTCTACAAAAAGATAACTTTTACCAACATAATGTGGAAAAATTAGAAAATGTTTCTCAGCTAAGTCATGATAAATCACCCATTGAAAAAAGCACTCAATATTTGAACCAACATCAGACTGCAACTCTGGTTAAGTGGCAAAATGARGGGAAACACACAGAGCAGCTTTTGGGAAGTGAACCTTCAACAGTGACTCTGGTACCAGAGCAGTATAGTAATGCTAACATCAATCAGTCACCCCAAACTGATGATCACAGTTACACAGATAGTGACGAAGATAAAGATAATCAACAATTTCTGACACCTGCAAAGCTTGCAAATGCAAAACAGACTTTAGAAGATGAGCAGGCCAGAGATGCCAGAAACCACCAGAAGTGTAGCAAGACTTGCCATCCTGTAGAAGACTCTGCAGGTTGTCAGCAGGAGGAGATAGATGTGGTACCAGAGAGCCCATTGTCCGATGTTGGCTCTGAAGATGTTGGAACTGGACCCAAAAATGATAGCAAGTTGAGTAGAAAAGAAAGTAGCCTAGGAAATTCTCCATTTGAGAAGGAGAGCGAACCAGAGTCACCGATGGATGTAGATAATTCCAAAAATAGTTGTCAAGACTCAGAAGCAGATGAAGAGACAAGTCCAGGTTTTGATGAACAAGAAGATGGTAGTTCCTCCCAAACAACAAATAAACCTTCAAGGTTCCAAGCAAGAGAAGCTGACAGTGAACTTAGGAAACGGCACTCTAATAAGGGAGGTGAAATTAGATTACATTTTCAATTTGAAGGAGGAGAGAATCGCACTGGGATGAGTGATTTAAATACCAGGCCACCTGGAAATACTTCTAGCCTTAATGTAGAATGCAAAAATTCCAAGCAGCATGGAAAAAAGGATTCTAAAATCACTGATCATTTTATGAGAATGCCTAAAGCAGAAGATAGAAGGTAATTCTTTTTTCCCCATAAGGAGCATCTTTCTAATAGTATATGTTTTAAAATTTCATAAGGGAGTTTAACAAAGTCAAGATTTATAGTAGAATAAAGTAATGGTTGTGTTTCTTATTAAATATTCATGCTAAATTTAATCCTAGACTCTAAATTTTAAAATGGCAAGAAATAGAAAATAAGATATAATAAATGTTGGCAGTCAGATTTTTATTTTCATGAATTTCTTTATGGAATATATGGGAATTATTAGAACATGAAAATATTAGATTGATAGTGGTGACTGTTAGCCATTTTTCTAGGCCATTATATATTATACTTTCTCTAATGTTCTGACAGGCAGAAATTATTGTACTCACTTTATAAATGAGAAACCTGATTTGCATTAGAAAAGTCACTGAAATCATGTAATCTGAGTGGTGGTAGTGGGATTTAATTCCATGCATGTCTGATTATAAAGCTTATATTTTTGTCACTATTCCATATTGAATTTTAAAATCTGCCCAATGATTTTATATGATCTCAATTTTCTAGAGATCAATTTTCTTATGACATTAAGTTCGCTTTGTTGAAAATTACTGTGTAAAGATGAGAAGTGGCTAATACTATGAACCATGGCTCATTTCTGTTTTTAGAAGATGATTTATCTGTCTGAGGAAGGAATTTTAATATAAGCTTTATAAGGTTTTCTGTTGCCTTGTAAGTGTAAAACAAACTGAAGTGCTAGAGCAAGGTTAATGCACTTTAAACAATAACATTCTGGCTAAAATTTTGTACTTTTGTATTCAGGGGAACAATAAATAATTTGTGGCTGCATACGTTTGTCTTGTCCCTAGAAAAGAACAGTGTGAAGTCAAACATCAGAGAACAGAAAGGAAGATCCTTAAATACGTTCCACCTCACCTTTCTCCAGATAAGAAGTGGCTTGGAACTCCTATTGAGGAGATGAGAAGGATGCCTCAGTGTGGAATCCGGCTACCTCTCTTGAGGCCATCTGCCAATCATACTGTAACTATTCGGGTGAGTATCACCTTTTACCCACTAGGAGAGAGGACTGGAAGTTCTGATTTATTGTGATATTTATTAATATAAAACAGACCAAGGCATAGAAAGTTCTCTTTTTTTGCAAATATGAAATACTGAGAAGTCTACAGAATGAAGAGAYAAATGGTAGCTTACTTAATAATAGGGCACTTAATAAATCAGCCAGATGAATCATGAATAGTCAGCTAATGATGAATTTGAATTTTTAATGATGAAATTGAAATTTTCAGGGTTTTTATGAAAGTTCTTTTTTTTTTCTTTTTAAATTCATTTGTCAGTATTTATTAACACTACATTTTAGTTACTAGCTTAGACCCCAAAATTCAAAATTGTACATAGTTGAGTACATTCTCCAGTTTTGTCCTCATAAGGTTTAGGCTCTTCTATACATGTCTATCACTGTCTCACAGGTACCAAACTTAACATCTCTAAAGCCAATCTCACTTTTGTAAAAATTATGGTAAGACATACATAACATAAAACTTAGCATTTTAATCATTTTTAAGTGTACAATTCAGTGACATTAAGTACATTTATAGTGTCACGCAACCATCACTACTGCCTATTTCCAGAACTTTTTTATTTTCCAAACAGAAACCCTGTATCTGTTAAGCAGTTATACCTCATTTGCTGCTTACCCTAGCTCCTACTTAACTTCTTTCATACTTTCTGTGGGTTTTTAAAAAATTTAATGAGGTGTATGAATTTGACTCATTTTAAATGTGCAGTTTGGTGATATTTAGTTAGTGAATTCTGTAACCATTACAAATAATCCAGTTTTAGAAGGTTTCTATCTCTCATTGAATAGTTTTAAATATTCATCTGATTTTTAGTCAGTCTTTGTAGATTTCACAGGGACTACCACCCTCCAAAAAGTGTATATGACATTAAGTTTGCTTTGTTGAAAATTACTGTGTAGGGCTAGGGATGTGGCTTAAGCGGTAGCGCGCTTGCCTGGCATGCGTGCGGCCCGGGTTCGATCCTCAGCATCACATACAAACAAAGATGTTGTGTCTGCCAAATACTAATAAAAATAAACATTAAAAAAAAAGAATTCTCCCTTTCTCTCACTCTCTCTCACTCTCTCTAAAAAAAAAAAAAAAAGAAGAAGAAAATTACTGTGTAAAGATCTGGTATCTCTTAGTCCTATTGCCAGAGCTTAAAATTTGTGTTTTCTTCTAGATTCATTATTCTGAATATGACAATGTACATATTATATGTGCATATGTTATACATATATACAAAATAGTTTTTTAATGGAAAATCAAGGAAATGTGGAATATTATCAAGAACAATGGTTAATACAGTGAGGCAGAATAACCCTCAAACTGGAAGTCACTCTGTCCCTTCTGAATTCCTGTTGTGCCTTGTCTGTCCCTTACTTGCGATTGTCATTGCAATGTTTTTTGTTTTTTTTGTTTTTTTCGTTGTTGTTGTGGTTGTTAAAACTATTTCTGCTGGAGAGTATCATGCTAAGTGAAATAAGCCAATCCCCCGCCCCAAGAAAAAGGACAAGAACAAAAAAACTTAGTTCTTTAATACATAGTTCTTAGTTACATTTCTAAAGTGGCATATGTTAATAGTTACAGAATTTGATGAAGCTAATTAGCTTTAGATATATGGTAATTTGAAATTGCAAGGATGTAATACTTGTGCTTAAATATCTATAAACATACACTTTTGTGTATGAGTATGAACATACACTATTTATATATATGTTTTCTTTTGTTTAAAGCTGAAGTAGTACCTATTCTGTTTCCTCAAATGAGGGGGAAAAACTTGACAAAATCACCTTTGGTACCTTATGAGGGTGAAAAGTACTTTCAGAAAAATTAATAACTCAKTCACATTTGACTGTAGACCTTTTTTCTGCTTCCTGGAATATTCTCATCCTTAAGCTTCTATGACATGGTGTAATCCCAGTGTTCTTTCTACCTTCTTAGCCAGTTCTTAGGTTACTTCTTATTTTATCTTCTATATATGACCAGTCAGTGCTATTAGAATTCCTCTGGGCATTTTCATATGTTCTCTTCTTCCTGGGTGGTCTCATCTACCCTTGTGGCTTTAATGATCACCTATGTCGATGGCTTACAAATTTATTTCTCTTAAATTGCAAATGTTTTTATGAAGCTGCTTGTTTGACAGTCTTCCTTTCTATAAGCTGTTCCTTTTTTGAGAATTATGTTGGTTGATCACCTTATAATGAGGAAAGGTTTATTTTGGTCATAGTGTTAGAAGTTTTGGTCTGTGGTTACTTGGCCCCATTGCACTATGGGCCTTTGGTGGCATGGTATGTTAAAGTGGGAGTACATGGTAGAGGGTCTGTTCACCTTATGCTTCCTGGAAGCAGAAGGTAAGAGGGAAGAGGCCAGGATTCCAAAATCCTATTCAAGGACAGTCCCCCCCCCTCCCCCCGGCCCCCCCAGGGACTTAACTTCCTTTCACTAGGAAATGGTTCCTTCCATTACTTGCAAATAGCATGGGCTTGGAATAAGCATTTAGTACATGGGCCACTAGGGGGACACTCCAGATCCAGACTATAGCTGGAACTGTCTTTTCTTCTACTTTTTCCTAGCATGATTATGATCTAATAAAATGAGGAAATGAACTGCCTTTTAAAGAGTTTCTAAAGATTTGGTAATGAAAAATTAAAATTGAGCCCAGCTATAAAGGTGAGAATAAGGGTTTAACCAGATTAAAAAAATGTGAGGAGGAGGTAATTGGTATTTCTGGTATTAAAAAGAGAAAAGAGATATTGGTATGTACATAGGCATATATATAGACATGCACTTGAATTTGCTATGTTTAAAAAATCTGACTTATCTAAAATGAATTAGAAAACTGGGAATACTTTCAAAAGATAATGTTATTCCAAAGTGGAGATAAGGGTTTTATGGAGGAATGAGTGTGTCTGGGACACTTGGATTTAGGGAGAGAGTATGGAGGCTTTAGGCAGCAATTCAGGCAAAGAATGATGAGGGCTTAGCACCTAGATGGGATGGAGATACAGGACAYGGTCTCTTGGAAGCTGATAAGAGGAGAGGAGTGACAACAGCTGAAGAGAACTTCTGAGGTTTCTTGCCTGGGAACCGGTCTATGTATTTATAGTGCATTTACTTTAGCTTCTTTCTGTGGATTATTTTATAGAAGAAGTTCTTAGAGTTTATACTCTTAAAATTTTCCTATTTACCCTCTATTTCAGGTAGATCTTTTACGAGCAGGAGAAGTTCCCAAACCTTTTCCAACACATTATAAAGATTTGTGGGATAATAAGCATGTTAAAATGCCTTGTTCTGAACAAAATTTGTACCCTGTAGAAGATGAGGTAAGAAAAAGTGAAGATTATTTTAGTCCCTGAAACATGTTTTGATACTTAACTTGTTTGACTTCTGATTCTGTAATGCAAAATAACTTGGAATAGTTTGATCTTGTTATTCTTTTTCCTAAAAGAATGGTGAGCGAACTGCAGGGAGCCGGTGGGAGCTCATTCAGACTGCACTTCTCAACAAATTCACAAGACCCCAAAACCTAAAGGTATATTCTTTTTGCCATTTTTGTTTCTTATTTATAGCTCTTAGAGATGAGTCTTCTGTTTCCTCTCTTAAAGATGTTTTATGATCATAATAGGCTCAGGTAACAGTATTCATTTTAAACAAAGTGTTTGCTTCCCAGAACTAAGGAAGGCTCCTTAGAGACATTCTTGGTTTCCACTCCATCACTAGGAAATGAGCTAAGGAATTGAGAGTTGTAAATGACTTGCCTGGAGCCACGCAGAATAATTTCGTGAACCAGGAATCAGACCTCTGTTTCTTGATACCCTGTCCAATTTCCTTCAATCTAAGCTTCTCTTTTTTGTTTTAATGTTTCTGAAATGTCTTTAAAAAAAAATCAGGAAAGAATTATGACTTCAGCAATATTTGCCTAAAGGGAAGCTGATTTTGCTAGTGATTAAAGTATACATTAAATATTCTATTTTTTATTGCTCTTAATATAGCTGCTAGCAGTTTAATAATTTATTTATTAATTTTGTATGTTGACAATAATTTTTTGTACTTCATTTAAAACCATAAAGGCAACCGTTAGATTGTTTTTGTAATATTTAAAATATGCATAAGTGTATATATTTTTTGAGAAAACACTGTGTCTATAGAGCTTTTATAGCATTTTATAAATACAAACAGTGACAGAATTTTGTATACTTCATAAAAATGGTTTTATTTTCTTTCTGATGCCTAATTTGCTATAGACAGTTTCTCTGGTTTTATAGGATATTCCACCTATATTTGCAAGTTATTTTTTAATTTTCCATAGATTTCTGTAACTTTTAGGTTTATCTTTTTTTTCTCATGAAACACATTGATGTTGTACAATAATGTATTTTGAAAATTTAAAAAATTTTTCAATTTTATGAAGTGTTTCCTTAATCTTGTAATGAAGTCTTTTTAGTTTAACTCTTTGTAAATGAAAAAAATTATCAAGGTATGCCATAGTTGACCTAATTTTAGTGTAATGTTAATTGTATATGTATAAACATAAAAATAAGTATAAATTCCCCCTGCTTATAGTGCTTTTGCAGATATATTAATTTGATCATCACAGTGAAAACAATTTATACTTAACATTCCTTTTTTTGCATAGATATTTTTAAACCACTGATCCAAACTCCAAAATAGTATGCTAAGAAATTTTTTAAAATACTGTATAAAGAAAAAATTCTTTATTTTGTATTTATTTCTTCTCTTACAACTATAAACAGTTGGATGCTGGTGGATGCAAAGATGATATTTTTATGTAGCATATCAGCTTGCAAATATGTAGTGACTACTTTGAACCAATTCTTTAGAATTTGATATACCTGTACTATGATGTATTCTAGCATGGCTTAATCTTTCTTCCATTTCTATCTGTTTAAAGTACTAGTCTTCTTTTCTACAGCATGTTGTCATTTGGCCTTTGTCTTCAAAACCAAAGTTATAAACTCAAAAATGCAGAAGCAGGCCACCCAAGAATACTATCCAGACTCCATTTGGGGGGGGGGGGGGATATAGCTCAGTGATAGAGTACTTGCCTATCATGTACAAACCCTGAATTTGATTTCAGTACCACTGAAAAAGAAAAGAAACCAGATTCCATTTCTGTGGTAGGTTCTTATAGCTTTAGCCCACTTTAGAAAGTGGGCTATATTTTTAGAATTTTCAAATTTTTTATTCAAACATCAACAGAGTAATGATAGTGTTCTCCAGCAGTTTCTTATTCTGCCATGATTATTTTAGGAAGGGGTGATTACTTTAATGTCAGTTTCCCTTTTTTTTTGATTATTTTATCGTAGATTTAGCAGCATAATTCATCAAGATTTTCTGCCATCTGATTTGGTAATTATTTACTTTGCTGAAGAATGCTATGAGAGAGGAAGGGAAAATATTAAATTCTTCTGATTGAGTATAATGATCTTTTTGTTGATTATATATCATATGATGTTAGATTTAGGGGGATCAGAGAGGTTCAAAGTTTAAAAAAGAATAATGTCCTCACAAGTGATAATGTATAAATAATGTGTCTGACAGTTTGTACAAAAAGCACTTCTTCAAATTCCCTCAATATTTGATACAAAGTAGCATCCTGTTTTTCTAATGACAGGAAACTTCATGATGGACTGCCTACTTTTGAGAGTTGAAACCTGAACTAAAAGTAAAAATACATTTATCTCTCTGGAACAGATTCCTTATCTTGGTATTCTACCAATAGTAGTTTGAAAACATTTGGAAAAAAAATTATGGCTGTAACTAAACATGCACAGACTTTTTTCTTCTCATTATTCCCTATACAATACAATATAACAACGTTTGCATAGCGTTTACTTGAATTGGCAACTAAATTTTTTTTTTTTCCTTTTGGCACTGTGGATTGACCACCGGGCACTTTACTACTGAGCTACATTCCCCATGTTTTATTTTTTATTTTGAGATAGGATCTCGCTAACTTGCTGAGGCTGGCCTTGAACTTTCAGTCCTCCTACTTTAGCTTCCCAGGTTGCTGGGATTACAGGCGTGCACCAACACACTTGGCTGGATTAGCAATTGTAAATAATTTAAATATGATTTAAAGAATGGGAGGATGTGTAGATTATATGCAAATGCTATGCCATCTTATATAAGGAGACTTGTCTGAGCATACTCAGATTTTGATATTTTCAAGGGGACTTGTTCCAATCCCCTGCAGATACTGAGCGATAAGTGTCTAAGGGATTTATGCTAATTATATTATGCCATTAAGGAATTAGGAGTGCAAGTTCCATTTATTTTTCCTTACCAACTTTGAAGAATAATTTGCATAAAAGAAAGTGTATCCTTTTAAAGTATGTGTTTTAATGAGTTTTCACATTTATATCTACTGGGGGAAACCCTACCACAATCAAGATGCAAAGCATTTCTATCATCCCCCACGTGTTCTCTTACAGTCGATTCTACTGTCCTTAGACAACTACTGAACCACTCTTTTCACTATGGATTAGTACAATTTATATGAATGGAGTCTCATATCCTGTATACTATAGTGTCTATTCTTTTTACTCAGAATGAATGTTTTTGAGATTCACCCATTTAGTTCAGTATATCAGTAGTTTGCTCCAGTATATGCATTGCTTATTCAATCATCTGATTTTTTTTCTTTATTTTTGATTTTAGTACTAGGCATTGAAACCAGGGGCCCTTATCCACTGAGTACATCCCCAGCCCTTTTTATTTTTATACAGAATCTTGCTAAGTTGCTGAGGCTGGTCTGGAACTTGTGATCCTTCTGTCCCAGCCTCCTGAGCTGCTGGGATTATAGGCGTGTGCCAAGCACTTGGCCTATTCATCTGTTTATAGACATTGTTATTTATTACTTTATGTGAGGTTTTGAAATAAGATATCCATGATTAGAAAAAATTCCTTAAATTTTGAGGAATTCTTAACAGAAATTTTTATTTTATGATTTGTGAGAAAAATTAAAGCTTTTTCTTGCCATGTTATTTATGGACAATTTCTTTTTTTTCCTGAAGGAACTTGTATATCCCTTGATTCCAAATAAATAATATACATTTTGTGCTATCTTTTTAACCTAGATGTTTGGTGATTGTATGCCATGAAATGTTGTTTAAGAAGCTCTTTGGCAGAGCATTAATTTTTAAAAATTTCTTTATTGATAAGGAAATCTCAAAGGTTTATAGTAATAATTTTCAGACTTGTGTATTTCTTCAATAAAAGTATTTTGAGTTTGTATTACCAATATAATTATTTATAAATTGTACTCATTTATAACTTTACTAATGTTATGTATAATAAAATAATCAAAATAGATATTGAAAAGAATGAAAGTTCTTTCAGCACAACTAATGAATTATGCATACCTGACTCTGGAAACCACCTGGATAGTATTGTTTATTCAGACAGTTAAAAGTTACACCAGTAGATGGCATAATGTTTTGATTTTTCATTCTCAGTAAATATGTAATTTGTATGAACTGCTAGGGGGAAGATAATCACTTATATATAGCCTTTAAAAGCTGTTAGTGAAGCAAAAAGGACCACTTCATACTTTAAGATGGGGTTTCACAGTCTTTTTCATTATTGTCCTCTATTCCAGAAGCCCTTTTAAACATTTTTCCCTAATCTCCCACCAATATAAAATTTTAATATTGCACATATGCTGTGTGTGTGTGTGTGTGTGTGCACGTATACACACACATATATACATATATAAAGTTCATGAATTGTTGCAATTTCTAAGTTAATTTTTATCCCCCAAGATCCAATTTTTGCCCACTTGGAGTATGTTATCCCCATTTAGAATGAATGCTTTAGGGTAGTTATGTCTTTCCCCTATTGCCTAACCTTTATAATATCATTTTCTTGTTAATAATAAATCAGTATACATTCTGTTTGTCCATAACTACTTCTCTGGAGTAAGCTGATAGTAAGAGGAAGCTTGTCTGGCATTAAGAAATTTACTGGAAGTAATTTGTAAGAGACAGGCTATTCATAGGTAAATCATGTGGCTATATCATGAGGTTTTGTTTCTGTTTTTTTTTTTTTTTCCATAGGATGCAATTCTGAAATACAATGTGGCATATTCTAAGAAATGGGACTTTACAGCTTTGGTTGATTTCTGGGATAAGGTAAAAGTATGCTTATTTCTTTAGCTATGAAATACTGTAACTCTATAAGAAGGTTTGAGAAATATACCTGTGATTCTTTCATACTAATAAAATTATCTTATTTATTCTTAGGAGTTTCCTGTGTTTTAAATCCATGCTTTAGGAAGATGTAATTAGGTGTTAATTTTGAATTTTGATTTATTCTCATATTTTCTGTTATATTGTCATACCATTATAAGTATTATCAATGGATACATAATCCATGACCAAGTTTTGATAAAATTATGCCTATTAAAACATCTAGGTTGTGTCCAATTACACTATAATAACATTCTGAATGTGTGTGTGTTTTCCCATTTTGATAATATTTCTTTAGATGATTCCCAGAAGTTAGATGGCTAGGTAAAAGGACACAGCATTTATAGTTATGTATATGTGTTGTGAAATCATTTTCTACAGGGAATTGTTGCAACTTACTATGCCATCAGTAATGGGTAAGAATACCACTTTTGTACCAATGCTAGTTAAATGGGCATAATCTGTTTTGAAAAAATGGCAGTTTACCTTTTTTAACATTTTATTTTGAAATAATCATAGATTCACAAGAAGTTGCAAAGAAATGTTCAGGGGTGTCCTATCACCCTTTACCCCACCTGTCCCAGTGTTGATTGCTTGCATAACTATATCAGTACTAGGAAACTGACATAAGAATTTATTTTAATTTCATTGTAGTCATTTGTGTTTGTATGTGTAATTATATCCCACGTTACTGAGGCTTCATGTAACTACCACCACAGTCAAGTTACAGAAGAACCATTTCAATACCACATACTCACTAGTGTTTCCCCTTTATAGCTACATTTATTTCTTCCTAACTCCTAGTAGCCAATAATTTGTTTTCTGTCTCTAATTTTTTTATTCCAAAAGGATTACAGTGTTTAGCCTTTTCTCAGCCTAATTCCCTTGGGGTTTATTTGTATGAATCTATAATTATTTTCTTTTTATTACTGAATTGTATTATGTGGTAAAACATTTGTGTTGTTTCTAGTTTTTTACTATTTCAACTAAAGATTGTATGAATTTTTGTGTATAGGTTTTTACATAAACATAGAATTTTGTTTCTTTGGGATAAATGCCCAAGAGGATGGTTTATAAGTTGTTGGTAAGTGTATTTTGAACTTTAGGAGAAATTGCCAAACTACTACTTACCAAAGGAGCTGTACCAAACAATGACTGTATATTTTTGCTAATTAATTAAGTGCCCCTCCCAAGAAAAGATGTTTTTATGTATAATCTGTTAACAAAATTATATTCAATTTGATTCTTCTCCTCATGTTGTTTTGAATCATTTAAGTTATTTATACTTTACTTACTAATAGAAACTGTGATTTTTGAAATGGAAATGTTTTGAATTGAAATGTTTTTAATGTTCCACAATTTTGATTACCTAATAGATAATAATTATTGAAGTTTGAACATGGCCTTTATTATTTCTTTCTGTTGGCACCTTTCCCTCCCTGGCTCATTTTCAGTTAAATATCTTTGAAGTAATTAAGATACTTGTTATTATTCCTATTTCACAAATGAGTAGTTGTGATTTAGAGATGGACTTGTTAGGCCAATGTGACATAGTTTGTTCCTGGTGGGGCAGTTTGACCCAATTAATGTTCTTTCATTACTGCATGCATCATTGTGTGATTTTTCTCTGCAGTCTGTACCACTACCTGCTGCCTCATTTCCTCTGTGATAAAAGGATGGCTATACCCCTCTTTTTCACCTTTCTTTTTGAATTCTGCCTCCCTAACCTCCCATTTTTCTGCCTCTCTTCTCTAAGAGATGAGATACCGTTTATCTTTGAATTTCTAAGGTAGATGTCTAAGTTTATCTTATGGCAGTCCTTCTCTTTGCCTTGTTATTTGTGAAGTGTTGACATAATCTAGTGAGTTAAAAGTTTCATGGGGCAGAAGCTGGAACTTAACAAATTTTGTGTCTACTGTAGCACYTGGTATAATGCCTTACATTTATTTAGCAAGTGGAGATAAATAATAAAGATTATGGAGATAAATAATTATTGATCTTATTTTAGCAGATCAGATTATCATACTGATTTTAAGGGTTATCAAAGTCAGGAGAATATTAGAAGAATCAATTCAAATTGATATGTTTCTGATTTCTGTCCTTACTCCCTGCCTGAATTTCTGTCTGTCCCCTAGAGGATTAGTGGTGGTAATCCAAATCAAAGTGGTTGGTTAACTACATTGTCAGGAATCACACAATAAGATTATTGTGAATCCTCCTAGTTAATGCCTCCTGTTAATTTGGAAGAGTTTGGAAATGTGAAAATGCAGTTGACACAGTAGGAATAACACTAACAGCCTTTTTTTTTTTTTTTCCCAGAGTGCTTAAATCATCTCCACAAAGTCCTTGTAAGACAGTATAATGCACTGCCATGGCTCTCAGATTATTATGTATCTAACTCTTGGAGGGTTTATTAAAGCATAGTTTATTGTCCACTCTTCTCCCCAAGTTTCTGATTGATTAGGTCTGAGTTGGGAACTTAGACTTTGCACTTTTAAGGCTGATGTTTTGGGTTTAAGGACCATATTTGGAGAACCATTGATGGAGAACAGAGAATAATATTAAAAATGGGAAATTATACTTTCTTTGCTTTGAAAACAAGTTTTGGTTAGAATAAAATAATTTTTTAGCAGATATAGTGATGTCAGTATAATATGAGAATTTTCTGATTTAAATGACATTACTTTTCAAACTCAAGTTTAACATTTAACTTGCATTAAAAGTTTGAGATAATTTTTCTCCTAGGCATATCWTCTATATACTGTAATTTTCAGTATATAGACTTAAAATTCTTCAGCTGCTTTAAAAGAAAGGAGATATTATTGAGGACATGTGTATATCAAAATGAATGTATTATTACATTAAATCTTGTAACCTTTTGTGGAGTGTAGGTAGAATATTTTATAGAGGGAAATATAATTAGGTTTAGAAAAGTGTGTAAAGGAGAGATATTTAAAAAGTAGCATGTTACTTGTACTAGCTTCTTTCACTTAGTATAACATTTTCAACAATCATCTACATTGTACTACATGTCAATACTTTATGCTTTTTTGCTGAATAATATTCCATTGTATAGATATATCAAACATTGTTTATACGTTTATCAGTTGATAGATATTTGGATTGTTGTTGTTTTTGTCTGTTATCAGTAGTAATGCTCTGAATATTTGTGAAAAGGTTTTTATGTGGCCATAAGTTCTCATTTTTCCTAAATATATACCCAGGAGTAGAATTACTGGGGTATATAGTAACTTTTTAATATATTAGGGAACTGACAAACTGCTTTTTGAAGTGGCTACATCATTTTATAATTCCATTAGCATTATATATAATGGTTCTAATTTCTTCACATCTTTTTTTAAAAAATATTTATTTATTTATGTATCTTTAGTTTTTAGGTGGCTACATCAGTTTGTTTTTATGTGGTGCCGAGGATCGAACCCAGTGCCTCATGCATGCTAGGCGAGCACTCTACCACTGAGCCACCACACCAGCCCGTCTTCACATCTTTATCATCACTTGTTTTTGTGTGTCTTTTATTTTAGCCATTTGAATTGGGTATAATGGTATCTCATTGTGGTTCTGATTTGCATTTCTATAATGACTAATGTTGGTTATCTGTTCAGGTGCCTAATGGCCATTTTGGAGAAATATATTTAAATCCTTTATGTTCTTATTGTGGAGTTATAAGCATTCTGTAATATTCTAGATGCAAGTACCTTGTCTGATCTATGCTTTGCAAATATTTTATCTTATTTTGTGGGCTGTCTTTCCATTTTCTTTTCTTTTTTTCTTTTTTGAGAAGAGAATTTTTAATATTTATTTTTTAGTTTTCGGCAGACACAACATCTTTGTTTGTATGTGGTGCTGAGGATCGAACCCAGGCCGCACGCATGCCAGGCGAGCGTGCTACCACTTGAGCCACATCCCCAGCCCCTCCATTTTCTTGATGGTATTCTTTGAAGCATAAAAGTTTTTAATTTGGATGAAGACTAATTTTTATTTTGTTGCTTCTGGTTTTGGTGCCATATCTAAGAAACCAATACAGGTCATAAGGATTTACTGTTAAGTTTCTTCTGCTTTAATTCTGTTAACCTTTTTGTATTCATTTTTTTATATGATGTTAGAGATATTCTCATCTGCTCAAACCCAAAGAATGGAATAGACACACAAGTTACAGAGAAAAAGGGGTTTTTTATTGACATTCTTGCAAGATCTGGTATCTGTGGAGCAGGCATACCCAGAGCAGTTACAATCAGCATTTTATCTGCTAGTGGGTAGTGCTTTAAGGTCTCTCTCTTGGATCCTCATTGGCTGAGTACTAATATTCCGAAACATTGCCCAGGTTTTATTGTCTCTATTGGGTTATTTAAAGAAATGTACTTTTAGTTGTTTCTATCTCCCTCTGTTCTCTTGTGGTGGGAAGGTCTTTTTGGGGTGAGTTTATCTTAGCCCTTACACAATTTCTCACTTTTGATTAGGCTGGCCCCTTTTTCTCACCTCCTTTACCAAGGGACTGTGAATATGACATACTTGGGTATAAGCTGCTGGTAATCACTGTTTTATTTCCCCTTTGGCTCTTTTCTTTCTTACGTCCCCAGTAATTTTACTTTTAAAGCCAAATACTTGAATATGGACCACTTGAATATGGGTCACTGGACTTTCTGTTCTCACACTGAATTAGGGATCCAGTTTTATTATTTTCCATGTGAATATCCATTTCAAGTTAATTTTCTCATGTGTAAGGGTAAGGGTAAGGGTMCAGTTTCATTATTTTGCTTGTGGAATTTAGCTTTTCCAGCACCATTTGAGAAGACTTTGCTATCCCTATTGAGTTGTCTTGGCACCCTTTTCAAAGCCCAGTTGACAACAATGTGAAACTTTATTTTGTTCTTTCAACTTTATTCCCCTGATCTATATATCTTTTGTATGTCAATACCACT